GCATAATCTGCTGCATGTGTCTCTTTCAGCATGTTGGAAAACAGGACAGAACCCATGCAAGAACAAACATGGTGAAAATTGCATTGCGCAAGTTGTTTGCTGGCATTTTGTGCGGTTGTGTGGTGCTGCTGGTGTTGGTGGTGAAGTGAGTGATGAAAAAAAGCAATCCAAACACATCCATATTCGAACTGCATTTTCCACCACCAGAATTCACAAAGAAAACAAACAAATTCTAAAGTACCAACCAACCTTATTGAAAACTTTGACCAACATAATCTACTGCATGTGTCTCTTTCAGCATGTTGGAAAACAGGACAGATCCCATGCAAGAACAAACATGGTGAAAATTGCATTGCGCAAATTGTTTGCTGGTATTTTGTGCGGTTGTGTGGTGCTGCTGGTGTTGGTTGCGAAGTGAGTGATGAAAAACACATCCAAACCTATCCATATTCTAACTGCACTTTTCACCACCAGAATTCACAAAGAGTACAGACAAGTTTTATCGTATCGACCGACCTCGTGAAAGCCTTGACCAACATCGTCTACTGTACGTGTTTCTGTCACCACGTTCGAAAACAGGACAGGATCCATGCAAGAACAAATATGGTCAAAACTGCATTGCGCAAGTTGTTTGCTGGTATTCCGCGTGGTTGAATGGTGCTGCTGGTGTTGCTCAATGATGGTGAAATGAATGCAGGAAAGAAACCATCCAATCATATCCAAGCCATATTCTAACTGCAATGTTTCACAACCAGGATTCACAAAAAAGAACGCCTTGTACCGTGCCATCCAACCTCAAGGAAATATTTCTCTCTCTATCTCTCTCTCTCTCTCTTTCTCTGTGTGTCTCTCTCTCTCTCCCTTTCTCCATCGCTATCTCGGGGTCCGAGACAAAAATGTGGCCAACATAATCTACTGTACTCGTTCGAGACAAATTGATGGATTTCAGCATCTATTTCAGCATGCCGGAAACCAAAACAGAATCCATGGCACCATGCAAGAGCAAACATGGTGAAAACGTTGCTGGTATTCTGCGTGGTTGCATGGTGCTGCTTGTGTTGGTGGTGAAGTGAGTGATGGTAAAAACCATCGAAACCATATTCTAACTGCACATCTTCACAACCAGAATTCACAAGAAGACAAACAAGTTCGTACCGTACAACCCCAACCTCTGGGGAAACGTTGGCCACTATAAGACTATAATCTACTATATTTGTTGGCGACAAGTTGATAGACTTCAGTATCGATTTCAGCAGCCAGATTAGAATCCATACAAGAAGGAAACATTGTGAAAACTACATTGCGTTATGCAAGTTGGTTGCTGGTATTCTGCGTGGTGCTGCTGGTGCTGCACATTCTTCACCACAAGAACTCAGGAAGAGAGCAAACAGCCTGTACCGTTCCAACCAACAACTTTAAGGGAGAAAGATTGACGACAAAATTTGTGTTCGAAAAGCATTGTTCCCACAGCAAAGCCACCAGATACGCATCTGTTTCAACAGCTATGTCAATTCCGTCGAAACTAACAGAACATATAGTCATATAGCCATACATACTATGTACTGTCATGTCATATTCTATCTGCACCCCAGCGACAATTCACTTCGATAAATCCCCAACTTTCATATTCTAACTGCTGGTCCCCGCTAGTAGGGGTGAGAAAAAAGTGAGAGCAAATTATTGGCTGGAAGGATGTGACATTCAATCTCATGGTTTTTGTATGTGTTGCATTATTTGTTGGTCGTTATACTGTATTGGCTGCAGGCAGTGCAGTACTGTACTGCATACACATGCAACATTGCACATATATCATATGTTCATATTCTATCTGCATATGTTGTTTGCATATTCTATCTGCTGTTTGGGGTCTTAGCTACCTTAGCTTTTTTTCATATTCTATCTGTGAGCTATTTTTTTTCATATTCTATCTCCTGGTCTGCTTGAGTATACTGTATATATATATATTACATAATATTCAAATATACTCTAGAAAATAAAAATAGTATATCACATATATCAAATATATTTATAATATTCTGAATATTTAATATATGTTTTGTATACGCTAGAACGTATTTATAATATATATATATGCTCTAGATAATAAAGGTAATTTATAATGTATACATATATATATATATACATTTATATATTATATAAAGGATATACAATATAATATATATATATATTAAACAATATACATAATATAAGTAATATAGATCTTGAAGGAGCAGCAGGTGCCTGGGCAACCCTCAAATCTGGAAGAAGGGTTTTTCCCAGTTATTTGGGCACAATTACCCAAGAAGGGTTTTAACATTGACCCTCCAAGTGTAAAACTCTTCTTCCAAAACAGAAACCAGGGGGGATATGGAAACCCCTCGATAAGCAACTTAACACGTAAAGCCACAACAGTTCGAGTTATAAACCAACGGACAGCAATTCAGAACTGGAGCAAAACGAAATGGGGAATGGGGATGGGTCAAGCTACCTATTATTACCATATTACCATATGACTGGGAGAATCAACATCTAGCATGACCATCCAGGTGCCATCCTTTAACTCCCCCGAACCTCTTGCGCCAAGGGTAAGGCCTCATCCGGCACCTTTTTTTGCGACGTCTTTTTCAGCCCCAGCCCCAGAGATAAATGGATCAAACGAATATCAACAGATGCTATGGGGGGTTCCACATGACTTAGTATTGGAAGCCATAGTGACCTGGGGTACCTTGCGTGGAAACCTCCATATGACCCAAACAAAATCATTAGTTCTTTAATTCACATTGACTAGAGGTTTTTCCATCCACAACGATGGCTTAAGAACTCTTTTTTTGTCGTAACTTCAATGCTAAACCATTCCCAATCTCAACCAGACATGGATGGTATAAACCGCCACGGGAGGCAACCTCTGGGATAATTACTCATCAAAAGGATACTCTTCGTAAGTCGATATTCTTGGTATACCTGACCTAGCATAATCAGTCCATGTAGATTCCCAACATGTTCGATTCATATGCCTATTTGATCTATTTGGAGGTTTCCTAAAACTGGTCCCCGAAATCCATTTTGGATGTGTGGCCTTTACCGATAAGTTTCTGCCAAAAAGCCAGAAGTGGAAGTTCATCGAATTAAGCATCACTTTTTTTACGTCCCAGCCTTACCACCGTTTCAAGTGATGCTGGTTGGTTTCTCTTCGCATCTTTACGTCAAAATCATCCGTGCGCTGACCCTGCCTCTAAGTCTAGCAAAGCCTGGATCTGGACTTCTAACCTGCCAGTCGTGGGCGAAGCGGCGCAATTGAAGTGGAAAAACATGGGTATGCACTTCAAGTAGAGGGAACGCTGAGCCCTAAAAGCAGTTGGAACTGCTAGTTCTTGGAGCTGGATATGATCAAGTACTGTCTTGAACTATATTGGTTGATGTTGGTATCACTTCTGCCCGTCAAGGTCAAAATCCAAGACAGCACCCAGGTGATTTTTATGGGGTGGGCTGTCTGAATCCTCATCACATCATCATGGAGCTCCAGGCACGAACCTTTTAAGAAAACGTTCACAAAACTTCTGGGATCCTTGGATTCTTCCCATGAAAAATCCATTTTTTGATCCTCTAAAAGTGAGACGCTTTGCCAAATACTCGGACTTGATTTCCCAATATGTCCAAAATCTTTACCTCAAAAAGGCTGGTTTCTACAGTGACCTCGCACCTGAGTCATCGGGATTAGTTGGGTGGGATCCCCTATCAGAACTACCCGAAGGTCATCATGGCTGGGAATCCCTGAACGGGAAAATCATGGAACATCATCCGAAGATTTTCCATTGCCATATGTGATTCCCATGTACATATATATATATATATATGTGCACTCAGTATGGGGCTTCTCACCCCAGCTATGGTTAAAATATGTTAAAATGATGGAAAGCAAGAAATCTTTAAAAGAACCAGTGTTGAACACCGGTCCACAGCTAATTCAGGCAATTCTTGATGGTTACCGAGAGGTATTCAAAGATGAATCCCCATGGATGTGGAAGGGGAAAATCTATATAATCTAAACATCAACATTGGTAAATTAACATAGCTATTGAAAATGGCCATAGAAATAATTGATTTACTGTATACATTAATAACATGGTGATTTTCCATAGTTATGTAAACGTTTACCAGAGGGTAAACATCAACATTGTATAATTTCACTCATTTCCACTATGTTTTCCTTGTTCTGGGGGACTTCTACGCCTTTTTTCCTTGGATTTGCTCAGGAGATGGTCCCTTTTGTCGATTTCCCCCCAAAATCACCGAGGAAAATCGCAGTGATACCGATTCGCACTGATTACTGTATACATCTGTATACCATGGGGAAAAGCCACCCAGTTCCGTTGGTGAAATCCCCCAGTTCCATGGAGGATCACTACGAAGTCTGGCCGGCCATCTTTGTTGGTCAATCCCATTCTTGTGGGTAAAACAGTGCCATAAACCACCCATTTTCCTGGAAATGGTAAACATATACCACCTATAAGGTGATGACTGCGGGATGGTTTATTGTATGATTGTTTGACCCACATTATTCTTGGTTTTTTGTTGCTTAAATCTCCCATTTGTCGCCAACAAAAACCCAAGAAACTCCACATGTTTTCTGCGAAAGTTGCTGCGAAAGCTGCTGAGATTCCACACATTTCCAGCAAATTTTCCATGTCGCCAGAGCGTCGCCAATGATCCACCTTGCTAGGCAGCAGGCTGCGGCAGCTCAGGGACACGGCTTTTTTTTCTGGGAAAACTTGGGGTTAAGCCCTGGTGAGCCATGGAAAATCCTGTGTAGTGTCATTGAATATCATTGAGTTTATTGGAGCTATCCGTAGTTCAACCATCAAAATGTTTTGCATTTTGATGGGCTGATGTTGTTTGGGCATGACGTATAAAAACCAAAGTTAAAAACGGCACGCATCGGGTTCGCCAATGTTTTGCGCGTAGGAACTCACAGAATTGATTGTCTGATATGTCTGATATTGTCTGCTTGGTGGTTGAATTCTCCGCCCTAAAAGCATGGTCACCGCAATGGGGATCATCAAACATCATCAAGCTGTGAATCGCATTGAATCGCGGTTTGAAGTACTAAAGTAGCCCTCCAAGTTCAAACCCCGGACACTTTCCCGAAGCCAAAATTGCGCATTTCTCTCCGTAGCTGCGCAAGGCTGCCTGATCTTGGATCCTTCACTCCTCTTCGTCCTTGTCATCGTTGATGTTGAAGTAGCGCATCTCATACGACGTCTTGTTGGGGGCCACGATGCGGAGGAAATCCCGCAACCTGCTGGGAATCAACATGAACAGCGTCTAAGTGGGTGATTTCACCCCAGTCAACTGCTATATGAGACCCTTAAGGAAATGTATGGTCACAGGTGTCCCAAACATTCTAGAAACACCTTATGTTTGGGTGTTGCAAGTGGTGTTTAACCTCAGAAATGTCCTGTTGGCTATGGAAAATCCACCATGTGATGATTTTCCCATTAGAACCTCCATTTATCCTCTGGCAATGACTAACGTAGCCATTGGAAATGGCAATTTATAGTTGGTTTACCTATAAAAAATGGTTATTTTCCATAGCTGTAGCTGCCATAGCTATGTTCGTTTACCTTAGGGGTAAGTTTTCAATTGCCATGTTTGATCCGCAGGGTATATATATATAACATATCACAGCCCCTCCTTCTTGTACGTTTGTTTGAACAGGCTTTATGAGATTTTTTGTCACAACCCACCATCTCGCTTGGAACATCTTTTTTGAAACATACAGGTAAGAATACAAACAAAAATGATTATCAGCACAACCTGGGTGGTATAATTCTTGATTTGGTATGGTGACCAAAAAAAACACATCTCCTGAATATCGAATATACCAAGGCGGGGACCCTACTACTACACGATATACATATACATGTCACAAAGGTTTCCGAGGGGATATTCAATATCATGGGGGAAGGGATTGCTTCTGACATGTTTATTGATGTTAATAATGGTCAATTTTAGTCCATTTAAAGCTAGGATTTTGGATTGAGGTGGAGCAGGCATATTTGCCCCACTTCCATCAGCTAGATGTCCATTAGCAGGGATAGAGAGACCAATAATGATTGGAGCTGAGTCCAGTGCCTTGTCTTGTCGGAACTACACAAGTGGAAATGCCAACATCTGCGGCCTTCCAATGATAATTTTCACACATAGCTGAAATAACGCCAAGAAACTGTTGAGCCTTCAGGTACTTCTTGCCCAAATACTTCAAGTAACGCTTGGAGAAAGGAGTCTCAGCGGTCACATGGATCTTGGCTTTCTCCCGGTTGATGGTGATCTTCTCTCCCAGGTTGCCGGGCTTGCCGTCCACTTTGATGCGACGCATCAGGAACTGCTCGAAATCTTTGGTCTCGATGATGTTGTCTTCAGATGGCTGCTTACCTGGGCCGGAGGGCGTCATGGGATATGTCTGCAAATAGGCTGGAATGTCCATTGGGAAAATGCCAAGCATCAGCATTTCATCAATCCAAAACGGGGTTATTTGGGTCCCATAAATTGTCCCTTCAACCGGTTGCAGGCTGTACCCCTGATGATTCGGGGCTCCCAAATGGTTTGCCATCTGCGACTGAAATGATCCTACCCTCTGGTTATGTCAACAGTTAGCTATTGAAGTCATGGCCCAGTCGAAATAGTGGATTTACCCATTGATAGCATGGTGGATCTTTCCATATTTTTTTGTAATAAATGTTTACCAGAGGGTAAATTCAACAGCCCAGGTCTTCACTACTCACAATAGTTATGTGTGGTTGACATTGCCCAAATCTAACCCAAAATGTGGTCTGGCTCCTAGAATAAGTGGGTTATATAAATTTTGGTATGGTTCACACTCCAACCTAAGGTTCCCAATCTTCATCCTCCTTTATCATCCTTTATCTGGGTCTATGTTGAGCCCCAAACCTATCGGATTTCCAATTGCTAGAAGCCTCTCTATAGAGGTTGACTATTGGGTAGTTGGGATGATCAAGAATGATCCCCAAGTGGTTGGTTACTGGGACGGTTCATTCTTATGTTTACCATCTTCGAAGTGGAATTTCCTGGGCATTTCTTAATCCACATCTGATATTTGTTTTACCAAAGACAATTCTATACGCGAAATCCGAAAACCAGTGACAAGAGTTCCAGTGATCAATCGTAACTTTGCATTTCATCACATTTACTGGCCATTTCCAGTCATCCACATTTCTCCATCATTGGTGGATTTTTACAGTGCGAAACTCTGGCTGCCCACCGTCCCGACCGTCCATCCGAGTCCTAGGTGCAGTCCACAGTGAACTTCAAAATGCTCTTCTTGGCCTTCTCCTCAAATCACCAACTTCCCCCTGACACAATGGCTCTTTTGTTAACATAGGGGATACTAAGTAATTAAATCATCCGTAAACATTCGTAAAACATATTATATTACTTCATATTAGTTTGAGTTTGAGATTGGTTGTGTATTTCTCCATGTATGGCAAACAAGGTGCGGTGTACTCACCAACTATGGGCCTTGCAGCCCAATTTCTGCTCCACAAAACCCTCGTGAGTCAGGTAGAAACATCATCTTAGGTAGGCATGGGCAAAAAATAGAACTTATGCAATTATGCATTTTTTCAATGGATCTTGGTTTACCGAAAATCTTCGGCATTCGTTAGGCATGTCATCCAAAATCATCCTTAAATTTCACATGGAACCCAGGCCATCTCCAGTGCTCAAATCATCTAACTGCAAGCCAGGAGGACATCTCTTTACGACTTTCGATCCCAGTTGCTTCACAGGGTCTTGCTGCGATCAACATCTTCACGAATCGTGCTTTTTCAGCTGTGATGCTTGGTAAAACCAGAAGTACCCTCTGGTAAACATTAACAACAAGAACTATGGAAAGATCCACCATTGAAAACAAAGGGTAAATCCACTATTTCGACTGGGCCATGTTCAATAGCTATTTTGACATAACCAGAGGGTAAAACCCATGGTCTTTCTGATGAAATCCCCAGTTTTCATCGGGCGCCATCTGCCAAGTCGCTGCCCCCTTCTTCACAGCGCCCTTCACCATGGCGACACCGACACACGGCGCGTAACTGGTGGCACGTGACTGGGACGTTTGGGCGTGGTGCCTTTGAGCCAATGGGTGGTTGCCGGTGGTGAATGATTTCAGGCACTGGGTTGCTTATGGTTGTTACAGCCTGCGGTTTTTTCCGAGTCAGTCTTTTATATGTTTTTTTTTGAAGGGTTGTTGACCCACCACTTTGGGAAAAACAAAGCAACGACATAGAGCTTCAATCAAAGAGATAGGCAAAAAACAACTGAAGTGAGCAGGGTGGGACAACCCAAGATGCATAAAGTCGTGATTCAAAGTGTGTGTCCACGACTGCGGCTTTGTATTGTCAGGATAGGGCTTCCCCAAGGAGAAGTTGAACGATACCATTGATCCAAATAGATCCGAAATGATCCGAATGCAAATTGAAGGAGTTAAATAATGTTAAATATGATTGAATCCAATCAATATTTTAAACATTTTTAAACCATGAATTCAAGGCTGTTGTTTTGAAGGCCCACAAAAATCCGACCAGTTTGTCGGTGATTCCCACCCACCATGGTCCACGACAACCATACCCAAGAGCGATTTCTCTCTCTCCGTAGCGCAGCGGTTTGGTGGCGTGATGACTTCACATCCTTCACTCCTCCTCATCCTTGTCATCGTTGATGTTGAAGTAACGCATCTGGTAAGAGGTCTTGTTGGGGGCCACGATGCGGAGGAAATCCCGCAACTGCTGCGCCTTCAGGTACTTCTTGCCCAAATACTTCAAGTAACGCTTGGAGAAAGGAGACTCAGCGGTCACATGGATCTTGGCTTTCTCCCGGTTGATGGTGATCTTCTCTCCCAAGTTGCCGGGCTTGCCGTCCACTTTGATGCGACGCATCAGGAACTGCTCAAAGTCCTCAAGGGTCGACGCGCTCGGAACCCCCGAAACAAGTTGATGCTCTGGAGATTTTTCCCCAAACAATCTCAAAACAAGACCCACCGATTATAACATCTTAAAACCAATAAAACCAGCCATTCACTGTCATTCACCTCCAGCTGTGACATCCGTCTCCCAAGTCGTCCTTGGTCTCGATGATGTTGTCATCCGCCGGCTGCTGGCAGTCCAGGGTGAACTTCAACGTGGTCTTCTTGGCCTTTTCGGCTCCACCCTGCCATCGAGGGCAAAATGGAAAGGTGAATGATTATAATGTGGTTCTATGATAGATATGATAGTACCATTAATATAGATATGATAGTATGATAGATATGATAGTATGATAGTATGATAGTACTATGATTAATATTCAATAAATGAAAGATATGATAGTATCGGCATCTATTGATATTGATATTGGCAATATCAACCAATAATCTAATATCATGTTGATGGTTACCCTCCGGTAATTTAACATAGCTGTTGAACATTGCCCATTTATAAGCGATTTACCCATTAAAATGTTGATTTTCATTAGTTATGTTAGTTTACCAAAGGGTAGGTTTTGCAGTTCAAATGACCTTCTAGTTGGATGTGCATCCCACTAAGTAGCTCATGACCAAATCAGAATGAGTTGCAGGATATGAGAGATATCCACCTAGATATCTTCCTGATATTCCCGTAAAAAAGGGGGTGATTGATCACTTGAAAATATCATAGGGGTATTTCAAGTAACGACTTGGAGTGGGCCTTCTTGCTCACAACCTTGGCCACCATGGCTGCTATCTGGCTCAAACACTGCCCTTGTTGGTTTCGGGGGCCTGAGCCATCAACATTTTCACGGAGAGATGAGCAACAGATTTGAATCATCTTGAAACAACGCCCTGAAAACGCTACTAGTTGAATTATATTAACATTTTTTGAGCGAGTTCGATCCTGAATTGACCTCACCTATCTTACCCTGATGAAACCAAACATGGACCGTAGGGCAAATTTCCCCAAGAGGTTGTTTTCTCTATTTTTGTCCAAGCCAATTTCATCATGGTGGCCGCCCCCAGTTATAAAATGTTGTCAGTTGGTAAATTGAAGCCCACTTAGCATAGATAGATCTAAACCAAAGTTAACCTAGATTCATCTAGATACATATCTAAGATCTAGCATAGATAGATCTTAGCATAGATAGATAGATAGATAGATAGATAGATTCTAGATATAAACCGACTTGGCGAAGTATAGGACATCACAAACTGTTCGTTGGCTCAACGTTAGATATTTCAGAGGGTCAACCAGGTTGGTTGTTGTCAACAAGGCACTCATGTGGCCATAGAGTGGGGGTACATCCGATGTAACAACTAAGAAAAAAAAGAAGCGACTTTCTCGATGTCTCTTGTGAAAAACAAACGAAACGGATGTCTCTGTTTGCTGAAGATTGAATCTCTTGTAATCCTATCCCCCGTTCATATTTAAAACATTTAAAAACCCCTCAGAGACCATGCAAAACTCCGAGGCTCCAAAGCTGACGAAAATCAATCTGAGTGATGCAAGCTTCCACCATTTTTGGATGGCTCAAAATGACGTTATTCCTCTGGGAGGTCACACAAAAAAAGAAAACAATGGTAAATAATCTATAATTAGGCAATTTTCCATGGCCATGTTAGAATAGCAAAGAATGGATGAATAACCTGCTCGTCATACCGCTTCCATAGGGATGATATAATGCTAACCAAGGATTAGTAAAGCAGTTTACTAGTCGGGGTAGCAGCTTCACAAGTACAATATGTCTGCAATTTTCTGGGTATATACACCCAGGGTTGAGATTACATGGGAAATGTGAAGTCTTTGTCGGTTTTTGCTCCCACCCGCAAACTTCATGTTTTCAGCGGCTATTTTCCTCCTCACTGTGTAGCATTGTCCGTCACAATGGCATCACCTAACTGCCTATCTCGCCGACATCACATCCTTCACTCCTCCTCATCCTTGTCATCGTTGATGTTGAAGTAACGCATCTGGTAAGAGGTCTTGTTGGGGGCCACGATGCGGAGGAAATCCCGCAACTGCTGCGCCTTCAGGTACTTCTTGCCCAAATACTTCAAGTAACGCTTGGAGAAAGGAGACTCAGCGGTCACATGGATCTTGGCTTTCTCCCGGTTGATGGTGATCTTCTCTCCCAAGTTGCCGGGCTTGCCGTCCACTTTGATGCGACGCATCAGGAACTGCTCAAAGTCCTCAGGGTTAACACGAAGGTCTCCCTTCAACCATCCAGAAAATAACGAGATCTTGCATCACTATTGAAAAATCATTGATTCTCTGTTGGATGTTTCAATTCCAACATCTAAATGGCTCAATATTCTCGAGGTTTTGGTAGCATGTGGAGCTTCAATCCTTTCCCAAGAGAAAAAGGCGATGAAACCTTCGAGACCAATCAATGACCACGCTGAGGTTTGCCACGCCCAGTAAAACATAGACCTTACCAGAGAGGGAGTTAGAAGACTACTTTCAACCAACAAAACATGTTTTTTCTGAGGGATTCTCAGGCTTTACCGCAGGCATTGTCTAGAACAATTACTAGTGACCAAAGGTATCAGAGATTATCAGAGTAACCCGTCAAAACATGTTAAAATCAGTCATTCGCAAGTTTACCAAAACCCAGTCGTCCTTGGTCTCGATGATGTTGTCATCAGCTGGCTGCTGGCAGTCCAGGGTGAACTTCAACGTGGTCTTCTTGGTCTTTTCGGCTCCACCCTGCCGTGCAAGCTGACTGCGCAGAAAGAAGAGCTGTGGCACCCCGATCATGAGCATATGGAGGTTTCCGTATGTCAACGGATTGGTTTAAGAAAAAAAAATACAGGAAAGCTCCGTATTTAATGGAAAAATCTATGGTTTCCAGTTTCCTGCAATCTTTCCCTTAAACCAATCCATTGATATGTATGTGATGTAAGAAAATTATGGCTGCATTAGAATATAGTTCCTAAATGTCTGACATAAATTGAAATAAGATCTTTCTTTCTTACTTTCCCTCTCTAACTATTAATTTGAGGTGACGCCGTGGTGTGGCATCAAGTAATAACCATGTCTTTTTTGGGGAATACACGTGCTGAAAGTATCTGTTCCACCTGGCATCCGCGTGTTTCTCAAACCTTCTATTCCTAAGCTACTTAAAAGCTGAGTCTAAGTCTTTCACCACTTAATTACAGTACTATTTCTATCTGGCAGTGTCTATCCCAACTGAAAATTATATCATCCCCAACCAGTAGATTCATTTTTGGAACCCCCATTTTCATAGATGATGTATAGCATAACCCCCACGTTGCCATGGTTGCTTCATGGGAAGGTGACTGGTGGACTGGATTTGCATTCAGACTATACCTGGTGATCAGTTCATCGGGCGGATGGAAATGATGGGCAATTTACCAACTATTTACATAACTATGGAAAGATCCACCATGCTATTAATATTATTAATGGATAAATCAACTATTTCGACTGGGCCATGGCTTCAATGCTATACAGTAGTTAAAATTACCAGAGGGTAAGTGGAACCTCCCCTATTTAGTTCGATGATTTTCCCAGCTAAGCCTAGCTCCATTTATGGAAGGCTTTTCCAGCCACGTTTGATGACACCAGAATTTTCCAGCCACGTTGACATCAAAGGGTACCCCCATTGTATCCCCCTGACTCCTCTGGTTCTTTCACATGGCCATGGAAAATGGATGAGCACGGCCCATAGAAATAGGTGAAGAAAATGATGATTATCCTTCAAGGTGATGCCCCATTTTTCAACCATCGCATCATGAATCCCCATGATGTGATGTTGTGGATAATAAGCTATTTCCATGTGATCTTCCCCATGATATCCACACAAAAATTGGCCCGAGTTATAGCAGTTACAAGAACTTCCCCATTTATAAAATGTATAATTCCATAGAAACAACCAGTTATATCATGTTATATCTAATAAATGGCCACAACTGTGATATCCACCATTTTGGATGCTTCAACTCATCCAATCGCACCTTGGTCTTCGCTGCCTTCACCATACTGCCGAGTCCCGGTCCGCAATGCGACGCGACTCGATTTGTCGATGACGGAGGCTACACAGCTGCGGTGAAGTCTATGGTCGATGGTAGAGATATCGAACATTATCGAACTAAATAATGGGTTTACCATGGTTTACCAAAAACTGGCGCGATTACATGAAAATTATGGGATATTTAGGTGTATCATCCCCTATCTTATAATGGGTTATTATGGATTTACATGAAAATGATGGGATGATGGGATAACATGTGGTGCACCCAAATAAAAAAGGGGGAATCATGGGCTCGGGTTGGTTTGGCAAATCACAAGAAACCAGAGTTTCTACACAGCCGGGGTTTCCTGCAGCTTTTCGCTGTGGGAGATATGGGAAATCAATGGAAATCAAGCACTTTCCAACGGTTTGAGATGATTTCGCTGGGAGGTGAGATTCATAAACATCAAGCTGCAATCAGGGGGAACTGATGACAATCCATCAGCAATATGTTGCAATTAAGTGGATCTTTTTCTAGGGTTCAGGTTGGATACCCAACATTCCTAACATTCATGGGGAATTGTTCAAGCCTCGTAGCGAGTAACCAAGACAAGGTTTACCAGGCAAGGACATTGGTTTCCCATGCGTGTGCCGCTGCGGTGAATCATGGTCTACGATGGTCAGGCGAAAATATGGTGAAGTGAAACATGGTTTTGGTCGAGGATTCCGTATGTCAATGGATTGGTTTGTTTGGGAAAAATACAGAAAAACCATGGTTTTTACCATTAAATATGGGGTTTTCCTGTAAAAATTCCCCTCAACCAATCCATTGAGTATGAGCACCTCTCTATTTAGCTTTCCCACGCAAAATGGGAATGCCGGAATGCCATAAAACTAATTACTTCAATACCACTCAGTTACTACTCCAATCAAATTTTGAGTGTTTCGAGGGTACCCCCAAAAGTAAGACCCGCCATATGAACACCTACACCTCCACCTTCACTTTTCCTAATCATTCATTAATCATATCACGGTGGCTAAACTCCGTAGTTCTTGCAAGCTGTACCCTGTGGCAATTTAACGTAGCTATGGAACATAGCATTTTTTACGAGGCAAATGAACATAAATCATCTACTTCTATGGGCCATTTATATCCATTTATACCATAGATATGTATCAAATAACCAGATTTGCTACCACTTAATTTCTGGAAGATTCATCGAGAAGCTTTCCTGCTGGGCATCCCCTGCAGCATTTGCGGCAGCTTGCAGAGCTTCCTCATTCCTGAGCGGTTTGACCCCTAGTTTGATTATGGGCATTTCACCGTATTTTTAAACGATTCAATATCATTGAGACGCACCGTGGTTGATATGTTTGATTTCCCTTTCTGAACAGGTTGTATGATATATAAGATTGATATGGACCATCGACATGGCTTTTGTTGTCGATTTATGATTCAATCATAGGGTGGTTTAACCAATAGATGAATAACGGATATGGGTTTATCAAACAGTATGACATGTCGGTAGAAGGAGCGATATGTATCCCAAGTATAGTCGCTGGATGTCGCTGGTCTCCGGGAGTTAACCATCCAACGTTGGTGGATGGTTCACGCCCACAAGTGGCTTAACATGGTACTAGTCACCTAGTCACTAGGATTCACTATAGGTACTTCAACAACAAAGTTACGGGCTCCTGTGAAATGGGAACATATTGGAATATAGTAGGCTAGGAAGTCTGAATGGTTTGCTGAACTGCTGATTTGCCCAAAATGGGAAGGATATGTGGTAAGTTTCCACCTGGGCAAATCAATGCAGGAGAACTACCTGCAGCCAATTGATGCAATGCCCGGTTGCAACATCTACAAGCAAAGCACCTTTTTCTGTTCTTTCGCATTTTTTCTCGAAGCTTTCATTGGGATCACCTTTTGATATGTCACGAACTTCAGGCGATCAAAAGGTCGCGAGAAAGGTTGCCAAGTCCCTATGGATATAGATGATTTCTTCGAATCTGAACTGCCATCCATAACTAGGTAGCGGCCAGCTTTCGCAGCTTTTTCAACAAGCAGTCCGTGAAGCCACGTTATTTCCGGATACTGGAACTGTGACAAATATTTGCGATATCTAAGAGGGAAGCATTTGGGAACACCTTTGTTTTTTAGGGAGACCAGTGCTAGTACTGAGTCAGTGCTTTTCAATGATTTTGCGGAATACTGGTCATCATCTAAGAGGCTTGCTAGCCAGAGACAGCTGGTTCATTTGCCTCCCCTGATTGTACCCGATTTAGTCATGTTTCAACCCATGTTTCATCCAGTTGCTGTTTGTACCCCCATGGTATCTAATCTTGCAAACTTAGTAACCTCCAAAAAAATCCAGTGCCACAATGCCACATGCCACATTTCTTGATAGGACGTTACGTTTCTATATGTGGTTGGCACTATACTCACTACACGGCTGTGAGTTGGTGAACCCCTTTTCTTATGCGAACTTCGCCATGTCTGATGTTTTTTTCACCTATCCAAGGCTTCCCCCAGTAAAACCCAGGGCTTTACCGCCGTGACACTGCCGCAACAGAAGATGACTTCGGATGGCATACTTCGTGGCCTCGGCGAAAAAACGTAATGTGATCGAAGCAACCAAAATGTGATGAAAAGAACAAACGACTGGTGATTTAAGTGATAAGAATGGTGATTAAAACAGAAACGGAATTTGAGCATCAAGAATGGTGACTTAAGCGACTGCAAAACGGAGATTTAAGGACATTGATCTAAGCAACACACATTATCTAGTAACGGAGATGGCTCGGCATAGAATCTACACAAGATGCAGTTCGAGTTAACAGGAATGGTGATACAAACGGATAATACCAATCTAATCAATGTTTCAGTGTTGGGTTGTCACAAACCTTGGCCAGTCACCTCACGTTGTGTCTCCGAAATATCTGTTGTTTCTGTTATTTTCCCACCATCCAAGTTTCCCCTTAAGCCTTTATAGATGAATACTATGCATAGAAAAAAGGCGAAATATTAGCCCATGGAAAAGACGATCACCAAGGTTTTATTAACTGCCAAGCTCAACAAATAGTACCTAGGTTCTGCACTCCTCCATATAATCATTTGAGCAGTGTTCAGGATCCACTGTCCTTCCTTTCTACCGGCTGCTTGATAGGGGTGCCGATAGTCGGTCGCAAGCAGTCATAATCTCCAGTAAACTTAACCGGGTAGTATGACCCACGAATGACCGGGGGGGTATAGCCCAAATGTTACGTGCTACAACACTCTTATTGGTATAAACCCTTGTAGAATAAGCTGCCAAAACTCATATATCAATTATATATGTAGCCATATCTTTGATAGATAAAACCCATAAGCCACCATTCAAATTCCATTCGAACACGTTCAACACTGTCAAACAACCATCATTTTATCGATTCTATCCCGTTATATCACATTACATCCCAGTCTATATAGTCTATATTCCCATATTTTGGCTGGTATGACCCCCATATAATGGAATATAATCCTCCGATGTAGTGATGTATCAGCATCCTTGTAAGACAATTCACAATGCTTGGTGGTTTCAACCTACCCCTTTGAAAAATACGAGTGAGAGTCAGTTGGGATGATGACATTCCCAAATGAATGAAAAGTCATAATCCAGCCATGTTCCAAACCACCAACCAGATGATAATTTACCTAATAGTTATGGTAAGTTGAATCAACAACCATTAGGTTTTAACTATAGTCAAAATTAGAAAGCCATCAGCAAACTTTATCACCAAGGATTTGAATCACTGCTCACTGCTCGACCCTGAGACACCCACCGCGATCATCCGACCTGCAACTTCGGCAGAAACTTCGAGCGGAGTTTTCAGCAGGGATTTAGCCAAAAACACAAGGGATCTAAAGAATATACTTGTTCAGTAGTGCGGATTAAGTTTCAGTTAGCCAACTTATAGGAATTCAGCCAAGAAACACATGTATTTATGCCAATAAAAATGAAGTTTGACTGAGCTGCTTAGATGCGTGAAATTCTGGTTGATTTTGGGCGTATAAGCATGCATGGCTAACATCATCAAATAACATTTACCTAAGTTACTAAGTCTCAGTGACCGCTTCATTTACCTTATGCACCACTGGGATTGTTTGCAAAGAAATCACAGATTTACCCTTCGATTCTTAACTTAGCCAGATGATAAACATGATGATTTACCGATGCAAAACTTGTGATCAGAACCAGTTCGCCACGTTAAATAACCAGAGAGTAACCCATCCGTACTGCCAACTCCGCCAAGGGTCTCTTGTCATTCAGCTCCTCTAGAAGAACGAGAGCCTGGCGCCCAGCTACGTTTGTGGTGCCCCTGATGCTTGTTGCTTATTGTTGGTTTATACACTGTATAAAGCAGAGAAACTAGTTTGATATATCTAACATATACATAAATCTACAGACCTAGTTATTGCAGTTATTTCCACAAACTTAGCCCCACTTTGTAGGGGAGTTCCCCATGAACCACTTAGGAACCATATACTCCCGAAGAAAACCAGAAGGAGCAAACAAGAACTCGGGCTTTGCACCAAGCAACAACTGATTCTTAAGGATCAAGTGTCTAGGATTGGTTGGAAGGCAAATCACCATATTTGATGGGAGAGACCATGGTTTTCTGTCAAAGTCCCTTAAATCAATCTATTAAACAGGAGCATTGCATTCATCAAGGTCTATGCAGTAGTTGGATGCCTTTTTGTTTGCTTCCCTATTCACCTGCTCCATCATTGGTTCATGGCCAATCTAGGATACTCTGCAAACAATTGTTGCTCGATAGCTGGTTATATACCCACGCTATCCCCCATCAGTTCATAGCGGACTGAGTTGCACCGCATTCGGTGGGGGATACCCAGCTGGCCATCAAATAATTGGGAACAATTATCTAGATCTAGCCAGTACTGTAGATGTTGAGGGTGTTCCGAAACAAAATCGCTATTTGACACATGGTGAGTCGCAACCTTCAAATACTTTCTGTGACACCAAAACGTTTTTCACATGTCTTGTGGGGTGATGCAAGACATGTTTCCTTTCCACGAAACCACATGGCAGCTTAGCTTCACATCATTAAAGCACCATGAAACACTATGAAACACCGCATTTTCACCATGACCCTGAGCCGAAGTTTCTTCCAGTGCCTTGTTGGCTGCTTCCAGTGCCGGAGCACCTATCTCCTGCTGGATGGACCATCTACGATGAGGATCCTAGGAAACGAACATTGGGATATAGTGGGACAAACATATGCATATATAGGATATATAGGATATATAGGATATATAGGATATATAGGATATCCAATATATAGGATAAATAAATATATGTGGGATATAGTGGATATTCCATCCCACTCTGTCGCTTAAGAGCCAGCACAAGTCCACCTCCGGATCGAGCGGTTTGGATGGAAGGTCCGCCGTAGTAAGAACTCCCAGAGTCCAAGAAAAACGAAACTCAACATGATGCTCTCGCTTCGTGCCCTGGGCCGTACTGTATCACAACGACGCAAAGCATTCCTCACGAGAAGGTGGGAAAAATAGCCCTGAGCACCATGGAACGCCTCGAAACCAACCTGCATTGCTTCTGCACCGAGACCCGAACGATCCAAACCTCGCTTGCACCATGGGAAAAAAGGGCAATTCTTTCTACCATAGCCCCAAGCAGCCAGTGCAAAACCCAAACACATAAACATATGCATATATGCAAACAGTAATGTAGTATTGATATATCAATCATACAGTAAGTTTGGACCTACAAACCACATGATGCATATATATATATATAGTCATATACACTTTGGCATGCCATGTAACTTAAGATCTTCAAACAACTGGAGTTTTGAGCAACTTAAATTGTAACAGACCAACTTTTTGCAGGCATGGCTTATGATACCCACATATCATATCGTGGAGTTGGGTAGATTTGGAACGCTTTACGGCAGCGGGTTTACCACACTACTATAGTACTTGATATTGCTTTGCTTCAACCAGTGAAATCAGCAGTTGAAGGGAATCGTGGCATGCCGTGTGTGTTTTTCAGCCCTAGAGATGTTAGCTGAGTTCAATGGACCTTAAGAAATGTCTGAAAGACAAGCCTGTCCTGCGTTCAATGGGCGCAAGGAGCCCGGAAAGGGAACAACAACTTGTGGATCCCCAAAATGCTGGGTATCCATCATGATGAATAATCCCAACCAACATTGGTGTACAATGCTGAAGATTGATTTTCCTACGCGCTCAACATGTTTTTTTCCTATGCAAATGGCGACTTATCTAATGACGATGAGAATAAACCATTAAACAATATTAAACATATATGTATACATATATACGCCATTTTTTAAGGGGAATGTGGTAAACTAGTAAACCCCACCCCCTTGAGGTTTGGAACCATCACGAAATGGTAAAGCGTCATTTAATCCCCCTGGTACAAAGAAATCAAAATCAATTATCTGGATTGAAAATCCTTTGAAATCCCAAGCAGTCCTGGAGAATTCCCAATGTTTACGGTGATTTCTGATGGTTATACCCAGCATTTGCGGGGGAGTCAAGTCCTTAACATTCCTTAACAATCCCCATCGCTGCAGGGCGGAATGAGCTTTTTGCTGAAACCTCAAGATCTGCTAAATGGGTGGTTTAAACAAATCCCAAGTGGTAGCTTTTATGGCGGCTTGCCCAGCTTGGAATCCATTTTTTTCCGATTCTCTCTCCCCCGGATCAAAACGTCATCCATCTACGGTACGTCATCCTTGAGGAAACAAACTGAGGAAACAAACTCATCAAGCGGTAGTTTTTCTCCCGATCATCTCGTTGCACAACTTGGGACCAACCGCCGACGCTCCAAACACACCATGTTTTCGGGCGCTGGTAATGAAATGGGACACTGCACGCGCTGCCTGGCGTAGTGGAAATGATCTAGACAAACACGGGACAGGGAATCGTTGGTAGACATATGTATATATATATATACGTATGTAAATAACAAAAATAAATAAACAAACAAATATACATTATATCATTATATATGTACAACGCAGAATGATACAGAATCATGTATGTGCATACAATACTGAATGTTATATATGTATGTTTGCATCTGTTGATACTGAGGGAATGGAACGGCTTTCAACAGAGAAAACTGATATTTGACATGAGTTATCCAACAACCATGAAACTCCAATGGCTCAAGAAATGTTTGAAGGATTTGTTTGCAGGTTTTACCTTGCATTGTTCCATCAATTCATTGAGGATGGCCATTGAATGATTGAACCAACAAAATACAATCTATATATATATGTACCCTCCGGCAATGCAATGGAAAAACCATGAAAAACCACCATTAAGAGATGATTTTCTCATTCAAACCTCCATCTTATCCCGGGATTTCATTGATTTTCTGCCCAGTTTGATCAACCGTAGAACATTTTTTTATACACCAGGAACATCCCAGTGATCACTTGGCATGTTCGCCGTTCCCACCGGCCTCAGGCCCTGCAAAGCCAAGGACTGCAACTCCGCCAAGAGCCTGAAGCTTGACCTTGGATGATTTGTTGCCAGGCTTAGCCTCAAAATGAAGTCATGGCATGTCATGAGCAAATGATAAATTGTTCAACGAAAACTATAAACATTAGTAATAAACCTATATGAAATCATATTGTACAAATCTATGGTTGGTAAATAAGAACAATAATAATAACAAAAAAATAATAGTATAAGTAAGTCACCAAAAATGAAACTGCAAAGCCATTGAACGTTAATTACAATATATTGCAATTCCATCAAAACCATTTATAACTCTAAAAAAATAGCCATGAAACATAGTAAAGAATAAACATGTTGAAGTTTTCTAGAAATATATTGTGACTAAATCTAATTTCCGTTAAACAATTTCACCAAGCAAAGGAAGGTTTGCCCGGAAAAAGGCTGCGAATCAGGGGTATTCAAACCCGTGCTGTTTAGTGCTCCAAAAACCATTGCGATTCGCTTGATATTAAAAAAACTTCTGAAGCCAAGGGTGTGTTTTGTTGAAGGACATGAGTGATGCTGGTGCTAGTGGTTTTGTTCGAGTTGTGACCAAGTGTTCAGCCCTAACTATCCATCATCTTTTTGGTTGGAACTTATCACCAACGAAAAAATGTGGGTCGACAAAATCCTGCACTACAATAGTTGGTAAAAAAACAACATGCTATCTATGAAACATGGTAAACAAATGGGATTATAAAAGGACAAATCTTGGGAGTTACATGGTTTTCACCAGTGGTGGAAACATCACCATGTGCTTGGTCAATGTAATCTCCCTACCCGGCCCTACCCTATACATTTGCCATGGGATTGGTTTGAAAGACAAACATGCCGAAAACCCTTCATTCATTTCATGGGAAATCACATCATTTCCCGTAGATTTTCCCTCCAACCAATCTATTGGTTCGATTGTTGATGAATACTCACAGTTTAAATCATGTTCATATGTTTTTGATGGTTTTCCGCCCAATAGATAGATCGATTTTAGATGAGATTAGATTAGATTAGATTAGATCGATAGATATACGTCCCCAAAAAAGGGACATTCACCATGATTCAAAACAAGAACATGTCCTTTTCAATGCATCCCAGGCTCATGTCACAATCCTTTCCCACGGCGAAGGACAAGGCCAGGGCATCGACTGGCACCTGGCGGGGCGCTGGTTTTTTCTACGGAGATAGCATGCTAAAATGTTGAACATATACATATAATATGTATATACCTCTATATATGTATATGTATATATATATATACACATATCAATTATATAATATAAACATGAATTCACAGGGTAAAACATACATGTATATATATAGATATATATATATATATTCATTGAGAGGCACAAGGCCGGAGATTCCGCAGAGCTTCCAGGAACCTCTAGCCGCTAGCCTAACAACCTTCTATGTGGATTGCTTAATGAAAGCTGTTGCTATGCTGAAGACGCTGCGTGGCCTTGCTGCTTGATCTTTGATTGCTGCGCCGTTTTGAGTTCTTGCGTACGATTTAAGTAAGCTTTCGAATATTTTTCAACTGACACATCTGCATATTATGTTTATCGCAACCCTGGTTTGGATTCCATCTTGTTGGCACATGTCATCATCTCCAAGTCAATGCTGCCGTGAAAGCAAAGAGAACAATGCCCGTGCCTCCACAGGAAATTTCAACACGTGCAACCTTGTTCAAACAGTATACCCATTGAACTCAGAAATACCACATGTGTACAACTATTCAAGCACAACAAAAATCAACATGTTTGAACACTTGTTTTTCCAGAACAAATTGGCGCAGCTGTGATGAAATCACTGTAAAACAATGTTCAACAGTTTCATTCAAATAAACTTCTGGGGAACCTCAAACCTTTGACCTATTGCGATAGAGCTGTGGGATCATCCATGGCTGACTGGCTTGAAAGGGGAAGCCAATATATATATATTTACACATATATATATATATCCACACAGTTTGATGGGTGAACGTAGGTTCACTTCCAGTTTGGAATTGTCATTGGTAGGCATGGGGCAATATTCATAGACCCCTTTGGAGCCCAGGCAAAACGAGCCCTGGGTTCCAGACACTTTCTCACATATACCAGGAATATTGAAATGCTCTTATTTTGCACTATTTGTACCTTATTTTTCTTTATTTGCCATTATTTTTCCTTATTTGTCACTATTTTACTGCTGGTTATTGGTCATTATTTTTCTCTGTTTGTGTACATTCCCATGGGAAACACAACAGCTGTGTTGCATGATTAAGCCTATCCCCGCTGTTTACTACAAGTTTGAAGGTGTTGAACACCGACACCAGAAGATAGACCGACAAATGACAGAGCGATAAAACAATAACCCAACAAAAACGAAGATACATAATTTTCTAAGAATACCAGTATCGAAAAAAATATTGGAACATCATTGAATCATCTGGGCAGGCATAGTTAGAATCAAACAAATAAGATCAAAAATCAAGTGTTTTCAATCCAACAACCCAATGGCAGCGATCAGTGGATGAGAATGCCATGGATGTGCCCGCTGATGATGCTGGTGCAAGCACGGGCACCGCTGCTAAAAGGCCCAAGATCAATCAGGAATTTCCTTTTGGAACTGAGAGCTACCTGTCATAGACAAAATCACTATATTTTTTTGGGGGGAGCAGTACGGCTCACTTTACCTGCAATGTTATCATGTCATCCCCAAACAGTGGCGTAAAGAATCAAACAGGAATATATTTGGGCTTAGACTAAGATCCCACTTCAACACACCATCAATCAAATTATAGCAACATAAAAAAAATGTTGATAATCATCATTTGTCACTATTTGTCATTATTTGTCGTTAAATGCCACTCAAATGGCAAAGAATCTCACGTATATTCAAATGCCCTTATTTGCCTTTATTTGTCACTAAATGTCCCTTAAATGCACTTATTTGCCACTAGATGTCCCTTAAATGCCACTATTTTTCAATTACCTTATTTGTCACTATGTGTCCCTTACTTGCTCTTATTTGACCATGGGCTCCTTTTGGCGGCTCGAGTTGGGACCATGAAATATGTAGGATTGGATCCAAAGCAAATATGTATAAATATGTGATACCGTCTGGAAATTCTAGAGTTTGCTCTCGGACATCGCTTTTCTTCATAGGTAAATCATCTTCTTTTTCTATGGGTCATTTCCCATCAAACAAATGATATTCCCCAGCATTCAACTCATCGTCTATATCTTGTTCTCATCCATTTAACTATTTCTACGGATCATTGCCCATAGATCATTCATGGAAAACCCCATATTTAAATATATTTAATGGTAAAAAAACATGGTTTCCTGTAAATTTTCCCAAACAAACCAATCCATTGAATCATGCTTTCCCCATCTATGGATCAATGGATCAATGGATCAACAAGCTCCGCCTGCGAGGCGCGCATCTCCTCCAAGAGCCTTACGGCTCCGAGCTGTTGGCGCCCAAGAAGAGGGCTATAACCTGAGGAGAAAAGCGGTGGGAAAAAATGATAGTCATGTCATATGATGATAGTAATATGATAGCAATCTGATTATATGATAGGAATATGAGAGTAATATGATACTATGATAGAAAAAATATGTACATGATAGTAAAATGATGATAGTCACATGATGATAGTAATAGGCAGTAATAATCATGAATCATGATTATGTAAATGTACTAGTCAAATTAATGTACGTTGGAGTAATGATGAATGTGGAAGTCGTACTGTTGATTTATATACTATCAATGTACTATCGATTGACTAGTACTGTTCATGTACTAATATGTGCTAATGTAGGTTAACTATGAGTTGGGGGGATGGGAGTACTGCATTTCCTGGCAAAATATTAGAATATCAAGCTACCCAACCCAGGTCTACCCAGCGATGGCACTTTGGTCTAGCCAGCAAATTGGGTATGGGGATGGATCCACCTCTCTCTCTCTCTCTCGTTTTCAACCGGGGAAAATATGCTGCAGTTTGCTGGCTGATGTCACATATGAATCTATAAATACATCTACTAGTCAGTATGAATCTATTTCTAATGTTGTGATATAGCCAATGTTGCAAATTATTCATTTTGGAGTCTCCGAACTGGGGGCATGCAATACCAGCAGGACTGGGCTAGTGTTGTTGTCCCTATGGCTAAATCCGTAGGTTTTTTTCCGTTCACTTGGCCGGCAATAGACGAATCTATTCAGCTCGAAACAGCTCTCGAACTGCGACAATTTCTGCGGCCATGTCGCTAGAAACGCTGAGCTTCATCAAGAGTTTTTGCATTGTTTCCAGCACCTGGTCACAAGTTTCAAAATATTCATGTAAATTCAGTTGTTATTTTTCAGATCGAACCACGTAACTGTTTATAGCAATCCAAAAAGTGAAGAAAAGTGGGGCAGAGTGGGACAGTGATATTTTTTGATTCGTAAGTTCAATATGCTGGGTCAAAAGCCTGGTACTCGGATGGTACCCAAAAATAGCTGGTTAAGGGATGGTTCTTCCCTTCCCCCAAAATTTGGTAATAATATAGGTTTTGACCCATCCACATATGGAACAAACCGACGCCTCCACAGAGTAGCGCCATTGCTTCGCAGACTCCAAGATGCTCAACACCTCGGAGTTGATCATCACACAAGAAGGATGCAATGGTTAATCATCTGGATACTTCACTTACGGTAATTATAGTGAATCTGGATACATTAATGATCATAATTCACTCAGATTTCTTCGGCTATTTTGGGATACCCTCGGGTAAACGTTTACATAACATCACATAACTATGGGAAAAATCACCATTTTTCATGGGTAAATCAACGATTTCAATGGCCATGGCTTCAATAGCTATACCCCAACATGGCCCAAGGTACCGCGTTGAAGCCCACCGCATCCAGGCGAATGGCGAGCGCCAGTGTCAGGCTGCGCTGCCATTGGGCAGTAGCGCCCAAAGCCTGGTGCCCCGCGCCCAGGCTTAGTGGAGTTGAATCCAATAGGTTTGTTGGAAGATAACTATTGGATTTGATACAGTTGATATAGTTGGTATGGTTGATATAGTTGGTATGGTTGATGTAGTTGATAAGTTGAGATGGGTATCCTTTGTTTTGCCAGGGCGTCCAGAGGGTTTGCCCATTTGGTAAATGATATATAATGATACAGTTGATCTAAGTGATTCAACTATCCAAATATTAAATATGATGCTTCAAATATCAAAATATTGCTAAACTATGGAAATAAAAGCCACACATGTGATAAGAATTTACCACGGATCTAAGTGGAATTTACACAAGACGAGTGCTATAGTTGATAAATATTGATAAATTCTAGTTGACTAGTTGTTGATTAGTCGTAGTTCATGTAGTGATAAATCCCATGAGTTTTCATGGTTCCCATGTTTTGATGGGAATCCGCCACCGTTTCCAGGGGAAATCCAGCCGGACCTCCAGAACGGCCGTGCGACCGGTGGCATCAGTGCCAGCTGTGTGGCGCAAAGCTGCCCTGCGAGATGGAGAAGTTGATACTGTGGGATTTCTATTGGGGGGGAAACCCAATAATGAATGGGGATAACATAAGGAATTTCAGGGGATTTTCAGGAATTTCAAGGATTTTTAAGTTATATTGCAAGATAACTGTGGGATAACGATGGGATAATGTAGAAATAATATTGGGTTCATGATGGGAAAATAATAAGAATGGAAAATAGATGTCTTTCTACTGGGTTAACATTAATGATTGATGGGAAATTATATTGTAAGATAACTGTGGGATAATAATGTAGAATAATATTGGGTTTATAATGGGATAAGAATAATAATACTTGGAAATAAATGTATTTCTATTGGTTTAACATTAATGATTGATGGGAAGTTATATTGTAAGATAACTGTGGGATAATGATAAGATAATGTAGAATATTACTGGGTTAATGATGGGATAATGATAACAATAATTGGAAATAGGTGTATTTCTATTGGGCTAACATTAATGATTGATGGGAAGTTATATTGTAAGATAACTGTGGGATAATAATGGGATAATGTAGAATAATATTGGGTTCATGATGGTATAATAATGATAATTGGAAATAAATGTATTTCTGTTGGGTTCACATGAACATTTGATTGAAGGGAAATTAAACAGATTATTGTAAGATAACTGTGGGATAATAATGGGATAAATGTAGAATAATAATGGGATAAACATTGGATAACATATATATATATAATTATGATCACACATATATATATATTAATAAATAATGATACCGAGGATATAGAAGGATATTAGCAGGAGAATATGGATTTGCAAAAGATAGTGGGAATATCATGGACAATTCTGGTGTCTACAATAGTCATCATCCCTAATACTATAAATGAACACATATTGATCATTGGATTCATAACTAGCACTACTCAGCTAAGTTGGGATATAGAGATAATGTGGTAGACCCAATAGTAGTCAAATCCCCATAGGAGGCCAGATTGAAGAAGACCGAGTGAACAAGTGACAATTCCTCCAAATTCTGAAAACAGAATTAGTATACTCCAAAATGACAATTCCTCCAAAGTGACAATTCCTCCAAATTGGAATACTATTCTTGTCACCAAACATAATTGGCTATACCCAGATTCGGGAGGATGTTGCTCCATGGGATGGTTTATCTGATTTGCTGCCCCCCACAGGGCCCGGTTTCTTTTTTTCTCGGTGATCTGACGTAGCCGGAAAATGATGATCCGAAGTATGTTTCATAATGGTTACCCTCTGGTAAACTGTCACATAACCATGGAAATACACCATATTTTTAATGGGGAAATCAACTATAACTATCAGTGGCAATTTTCAATAGTTATGTTAAAATACCAGGGGGTAATAATGTGTGATGATTTGCAATACCTGTTAATAGTTGTCAAAAAATGGTCACTAGTAGTGACTAGTGGTTATTACCGATAGTGGATATATGGGATAAAAAATATATAAACATGGTAACCCCAATTAAGCCCAAATTAAACATAAAGTACCTAAGAACTACATGTGCTATTTCCTTTCAAGTTTTCGCTGACATTCCTGAGATGTTCGCCAAGATGGAGAAAGATAGCTGGGTGGAAAGCAGAGGAATCACTTGGGAAAAAAATGGAAAAAGCCCAAGCTGAGAAATTACAACTCACAGGACCTAATAATACTGAAAATGGGTCTTCATTTTCAACTCACCAGGTGACATGCCCTCTGGTAAAACTAACATAACTATGGAAAATCACCATTTTCAATGGGTAAATCCACTATAAATGGTCATTTTCAATAGCTATAGTTAAATTACCAGAGGGTAACTCAATGATACACCACACAATCAGGCAACCATATTGTCAGGCATGATTTCCGCCCAACCTCAGGCTATAGATCCCCGATGCTTCAGAAATCGACCACTAAGCAACTTAGAGTTTGGGGACACAAACACTTCATCTATCAAACCAACAACAACTGGTTGGTGGTTTCAACCCCTCTGAAAAATATGAAAGTCAGTTGGGATGATTATTCCCAATATGTGGAAAAATAAAACATGTTCCAAACCACCAACCAGGCTTCATTTATCTAGGAACCAACAATGACTATATGGCTTGTGGATCTATGAGCCGAATTTCGTCGACAATGTTTTTTCAACCAACTTAGCTAAGAAGGACGAATCACCTGCTGCAGACCACCATCACCGCTATCCTCCAGAGAATCCCGCGCGCCATCGCACTCAGCAAGCAGTTAGAACCTGCAGTGCGCCGGGATGTGGCAAGGTATGACAATTGGACACTACAACATGGATGGAACTGGCATATTTACCGGGAAGATAATGGGTATCATAACCAACAATTATAATGGGATATACTGTATCATGATAAATTATATAATTGGATGCTTGGAATATGGCGGGGGTGTTGAGAAAGGAATATGTGAACCCAAATCTGCGGGCGTTCTGGCTGGTTTGACAGATCTATTGGAAATTCTTTGCGTCGGTTAGATTCCTCGTACAATCATGGCTAGCCACTGCTAGCCTTGGATACCCCATTGGACACATTTCTTTTCCAGCGGGATATGGCCTACCCCCTGGCAATCAACATCTATGGATGGTTTTCCCATTAAAATCGACATTTTTGATGGACAATTCCCAGCTAGCCATGGTTTCATCTACGGACAAATGGCCTAGTGCGTTGTGACTCAGCACGTGTCTCCCTCTGCTTGTGCTTCAGACTTGTTTGCTGGTTGTTGTCCAAGCTACCTTGACCACCTGCAATCAAGCAGCGCAAAGTCAGCTTCCTGGGCTTGCAAGCTATCGATCACCTGGAATGCCCTTTCGGTGCACCAGCTGCTTCAGGACTAGGCCGCTGAGAGCCATGGGCTTTGAACGTACAACGGAAGCCTTTGCTGATCTCCCTCCAGTTCAATGGATCGCATCCCGATTGCTGCAAGGCCTTCAAGGCCTTGCTGGCTGCAGCTGAACTTTCAATTCCAAACGCCACTTGGAATTCCCACCCTATTGTCCTCATGGCAAAAAAACAACCCCCTGCCATTGTCCTATCATGTTTGATTACCAGAGGGAGACGCCGTGCAACGAAAAACATGACAAGGGTTGCATCCCGAATGCATCCGTTTCTGGGAAACAAAGGTTGGACATATTGCGCAACAAATCGAGAATGTGAAACCCGGTTGGTTTATCTTGGTTTGTAAAACCAATATATAACAAGTAGAGGTGGTATATCTACGGTTGGGTGACACTAAGCAAAGTTGAACACCAACTTCGCTGGGTGACACCACTTTGTGCCCACTCTTGAATTAAACAAACGAGTTTACTATGGCACACTGGATTGTATCAATACCATAAGGTATACTGGATTGAAGAATGCCTTTATGTTCAGAAAAAATGACAATACTATGGTATACTGGATTGTCAATGCACATGCAAGTGCTGTATTTGTACAAAAATGACTTTCCATATGGACTCAATTACTTCCTGAGAATGCACTTGACCCCCCAAATCATCTCCCAAATACTTCCTCAGAAAGCTGAGGATCCTCAGGGTGTATGTGTGTATATATATATATTACAGGGATTGTCATGGTATGTATAATTCTCAGGGGTTATATATCTCCTCAGGGTTTATATTAAAAAAACAAAAGCTGTATATCTTTTATCGACCTAAATTCCCATCATGGAGCCTCCATCCCTTCCCTTCAAAAACCCGGGCACTTGCGGCCGTTCTCACCGGGCTGGCCGCGTGCACAGCGACGGCCGCCGGCCAAGCAGTGCCCTTATGGCAGGCGTTCCTCAATGTCAAAGAGGATTTTGACAATCAAAAATGGGGTTTAACGAACACATTTGGGATGATATAATGAAGTATACTGGATGATTACCAGATATACCCTGCTAAAAGTCGACTTGGATATTGACATATATACAGTACATGGTGTTTTTTAAAAAATAAAGGATGCATGGTTGGTTCTAAATATCTATGTCAAGTTTTTGAACATTAGTAAGTGGCCAATAACCCGTTGAAATCTCTGGCTGTCTTGGGATATGCCGCAATGACCCTAACCAGGAATCCCGAAAAATCTGGCAACATCGGCAGGAGAATGTGAAGGGATCTGGCGATACAATGCGTGATGGGTAGATTGTGTTTTTTTCCCGAAAGCAGGGTAGATAGCCCTAAACATCATTAAACATAGCCATTTCATGCCATTTCATGGTGAACATCATGCTGAACCAGCGGATCGTGGGGTATCTTGTTTTCAAACAAAGCTAGTGCTGGTGGTGGATTCCACACAGAAATCGCTTGGGGATGGTGAAATGACACGAAAAGAACAGGGACAGCCAGTGATCTGCTGGATTTTTCACAGTTTTATACGGGATTCCTTGGGTATAACATGCTATAACTTGTCGAAATTGAGATGGCATCAATGAACACAAAAAAAAACTTAGAATGTGCTAAAACCAAAATACAACTACCATTTGGGGATGGTGTGAATCCCAGCCGTTTGTGGTAAGTGATTTGGGGTGGTTGAAGATTCATTGGGGCCTCAAGTTTCCTCCACAAGAATGACAGAATCATAACATGAAAACAGTCAATTGCTGCCTCATATGTACTAATAATTTGTAAATACCTCAAATTTTCAAAATATGGCAATTTCCAACCATATTTCAGGTACTCTTCACCATTCTTCAACATCGCATGTTCATTCTTTCCCGAAATTTCAGCAAAAACACTCCCTGGGAAAGCCTGGTGAAATGTGGTTGGTCTGTTTACTCTAGGTGGTATATTGGTGTGTTTACCTGGTGAAAGACCCAGCAAAACCTGGGAAAACCCTAGAATATCCTAGGATGCCATTTATTGTTGGGATATTCTAGGTGCTTGTCTCTTGAATCGTTTTCATGGTTTCACATGAACCATTCCCTCAGCCCAGTCACATGGTAGAGGTGATGCTGACCACGCCTGAGAGAAGACGGCCATCATGGCCCGTGATGGTGACTATTTTTTTGGGTGATTCCATTCCAAAGCCATTGGTGTCCCCATTGTTAACAAAAATAATGAGGAACCCCAATGGTTATGTGGATCAATGGGGAATGATTTATCATGATTTATCATGGTTTATCCAAAAACCATTGGATGTTCCGCACCATTTGCAGGTTTCCAACACGTCTACCTTTTTTTGGGGGGTTGCTTAGGCTGGGGTGCTCCATTAAACATGTCTTCCTACCAACTATCTATAGTTGCGCACATCCAAGACATTATATACAGGAGATCGGAGTAAAAAGGATTGAAACTTTGAAACCAACCAGCTCCTCTAAAAATAGTGGATTTTCCAGCCAACAATGTGCCATGTGAATAAAATCGGGATGGTATTACCCTCTGCCCTCTGGTAAACTAACATAACTATGGAAGGTCACCATTCGAATCGGTACATGAATTATAAATGGGCTATCTACATATACCACAGCTCTGTGAAAATGACCAGATGGTATTTCCCACAATGTTCCCACAATATGTTCCCACCATATTTTTACCATAAATCCCATGGGACATATTGGGAAAAACAATGTCATAAACCATCCCCCAGTCATCACCATGTTTTATAGGTGGTAGTTTTGCCGTTCCCAGTCATGTGTAGTTTGTGATATTGTTTTACCCACGTCATTTAGTATTAGCGGTTCTTGATGATGTTTAGTGGTTAATGCTTGTGATGAAAAGGTGATTAATGGCTCTGTAAGAACAATATTTACCCACATCATGAGAATACAGATGATACTTCCCCATCATATTTTCTGAAACCAGAGCCAAGTGTCTAGGCCCCAAACGTTGCTGCCGCAAGGTCAGAAGGGACCGCAGGGCCATGAGCCAAAGGCTTCCCGTCCTGGGGCCGTGGTGATATTATCATCTTAAGGTCTTTAGTAAGATATTTTTTGGTAAGTTGTATGATAACTATAAATAATATGTGTATATATATATTTACTATGAAATAACTATAAGATATCAATTTTGATGTTGATTTTGAGAAAGTAACATACTATAACTATAATTTCTGGTTTCTCATAAGTATAGTAGGATATACCACCATTTGGACTTAGGGTTCTTCCTGTAATGCTATATCTTTCGTTGTTAGATGGGGAAATGCAAATCAACTTGCATCTGGGGGGAACCCTTCCAGCCTCCGACATGTGGATTTCAATGTTTATTGAATCACATGGGGATTTTGCCCAGGCACATGTTTTTAGATAAGAGAAACCTGGATTTAAGAACCGGAACTCGAGCTTCAGCCCACCAAAAATTCGGATTTGAGGCAATCAGCATTTCACCCGTCCAGCAATGAGCTTTAAGCGGCAAACATTCAGGGAACATGGGAATCAAAGCAAGGATTCGGTCAAACACCTTAAATTCTTGGATCGTGGAACACCGCTTTTCGATTGTGAGCGAGTGGGATGTCAAGAGGTTGACCCATCCCACATGGCGAACCTCAGATACTCCAACTTGGTGAATTCCCTTGCCTTATGGATTTGTATGGTAGATACAAGTATAGTATCCCAGGGGTGTTTAAAAACACGACAAACATCACTGGGGACAGCACCTTGTATGTAAATTGTGGGTCATCATGCTCCATTCGCTGAGAACCTCCATGAGTACTTGGGGTGCATCCGGGGCGTTGGAAGTGGTTAAGAACCGATTAATCTAACTGAGGTATATTTCACTAATCTGAGTGGGTTATTTCATATGCTTGGCACCTGCTTACTACCTGGGATGGGAGATCATTATTCAATGGGAATCTCAGGATCCAATTTATGGAGGTACGTTAGTACCATATTTTTGGCCATATTTTGTGGGGATATTCGCTGAAATTTTGGCCTTATATATGTTAGGTAGCTCCAATTTAGGATCCTGAAATTCCCATTGAATTATAAATTAATAACATAACCCTTATCCTCATTTTTGTACAGTCCAAGTGTCTGCGCCCATGAATTTGCTGCGGTGTTCCATGCGATCAGGTCACACAGCACCTACGGGGTGCAGAAATATTTTGAGCAAAAAAAAGGAGATGATTTGGGGGATTTTATTCGGGTTACTGGTTTGTGGTATATAATATATATATATATATACTTGGTTAGTGGTTGGTGTTTAAACACGGATTCGATGTGATCCTATACTGGTTGGTGGTGCAATAACCATCTTAAAAAATATGGAAGTCAGTTGGGATGATTATTCCCAATTATGGAAAAATAAAACATGTTCCAACCTGTTACATGCTGCTTCTCCATCTTAGAAGCGTGCCAAATAGAGTTCATACGCACGACGGTGTAGTTTTCCGTCATCTACGTCTGCGCCGTCTGGGGGTGCATAGCGCATCAGGCATTGTCGGAAGGAAATTGATGGTGAAACCTGCTCATCCAATTTTTACCCAACATGATACCCTCATTCATTGCGGGTTATTGTCACATTCCATACATCCCACAAAAACTGCAATCTTAACGTCTCACTCTCCAGGTTTCGATCTCTTGTACCTACGAGTATTTTGGGGTTCTTATGCCCAGGTCTTAATTCTCCGCTACATCTCTTAGTTCTCCCATGTTCTCTCATCCATCATGTCATCCAACATCCAGATTTTAGCACCAGCCATCATCCCAATTATGGGTATATCATAGTATACCCAACAATAAACCTCTAGTGGGGATGGTTCATTCTTTGCACAGGAAAATCTCTCATTGAGTTCGATCAGTTTTGCCCCATATCCTGATTTTCTAATCCTTATTGTTCATGATCGAGTCAAACAATTTTTCCATGTGATTGATGGTAATATGATTATTCATATCCCATCATATCCCTATTATTCATGATCCTTATTGTTCATATCCCCTTGAAATCCAAACGATTTTCCATGTGATTTTTCTGGATTTTACCCAACATCTTCTCCCATCGATCATCCCATATGGGTGACAGCCACGTGATGGAGCAACGTACCTGTGGTGTTTGGAGCAACCCTGGCTTTTTTCCTGCAATCAAACGATGGAACATGCCCCAAATCCTCAATGAGTTCGATGATGTTCCTACCAAAACACCATCTATATCATGCTTTATCTCCATTCATGGATATTATCATGATTTAAATCCATTGATATCCATTTATATCATAATTTATCTCTATTTCTGGTGGATTTCTGGCCATGTAAACACCGGCTACACGCCACGTTTCGTCGTCGTGCACCTTCCGCTGTGCCATGATCTTCAGGAGCTGGAAGCATTGGATCCACCTGATGGGAAATCTGGATAGAACCGGCCGGACCCGGAAAAAAAAACAGGGATTTGATGTGATCATTTTTAGTGGCTTCAACTGGTTAATATATGGTTTATATATGGTTAATATATGGTTAATATATGGTGAATGAGGGTTAATAATAATCTGGTTGGTGGTTGAGCCACCCCTCTAAAACATGTGGAAGTCAGCTGGGATGATGAAATTCCCAAGTGAATGGAAAGTCAGAATCCAGCCATGTTCCAGTCACCACCAACCAGTATATGGTTTTAGCGGACTTGGATTTTATGGGCTTTCTCTTGGCCAGCCCATGATGGCCCATGACCTGGGAGTTAAATCATTCCTTTCGGTTCATTTCATGTATTTTCCAAAGAAATACTGCCTGTTGTAATATATTATTAATTATTATATTGTTATTATATATATATATATTTTTTTTCCCCCCATCCATGATCTTCCCTATCAAATTGGCCAAATGGTATCAACAAAAAGTGGTGTCCAAGGTTTTTTTTTCACGCAATTAACGCCATGGGGCTCCATCTTAGTCTTTCGGCGTATTTTTGGTATCGCATCATTTACTGGTTGGTGGTTTCAACCCCTCTGGAAAATATGAAAGTCAGTTGGGATGATGAAATTCCCGATATCTGGACAAATAAAACATGTTCCAAACCACCAGCCAGACATTTATGTAACAGGAGATAGGACGCTGGGATTGGCACCATGATGCACCATGGTTCAACCAGCGAAACAATTAATGGAGAATTTGCCATGTTTCTTGCTGAAATGTCTCTGGAAGAACAGGGCCACGCTGTGGAAGTCATGAAGTTTCTAGGGTCATTCCTGAACCGGAATGATGAATGCAAATACTTAAAGAAACCACTTATGAGTAGAAACTATTTGTTTCGTGCAATGATCCCAGGGGTGGCTCTCCTATTACTACTCAACCTCTTTACTCAAACGCCAAACAAAAAACTGCGGCCATTCTGGCACCCACTGTCTGTCCGAGCCATCATCACATGGACTTTCAAACACATCGTCCAACATATCCAAAAGCGGCTGGGCCACAAACCACCGGAGGCATACGCGCCCAGCACAGCGCTGTAGCTGATGGTATCCTCAGTTCACCAGTGCCAGTTGTGTTAGATTGAGCTCAGGTAGTCACTGTTTGGGTACCATGAAGAATCTATCCAGAGAATATCGTTACAGGTTATATCTTGGCTATCCCTGCGCCAGGTTTGAATTTCGTGGGTCCCCGAAATTCTTGCATAGAAATGGCCGAAAATCACCGGATTTGTCCTTAGCCAACATCAACTTTGCGGAAAAAACACATGCCAATATTAGCAACCCAAGTACACATGATGCAAAAAAAAAGCACACCTGGAAGCCAGCAAGACTCACTAACACATCATCTGCAACCAGCAACCAGCACAGGATCTGACCAAAGGCAATGAATCCGGGGCTGATTGATACTTTGCGGAAGTCAAGTTCCAGGAGTTGCTTCAACCTCCAAAAATAAAGCCAAAAAGTGGATTGACCAATGGCGTTTCAGCAACTCTAAGAATCGGAGCCACCACTGTTGGATTTGGATCCAGTGATGTGAATTGGTGCGCTCCAAACAATCATCAAACGACTGGCTTCAACATCTAGAGCTACAATCCATGCAGCTGGTGATTCTCAACCCCAAGCATATTCATCAAGTTTGATCACCATCGCAAAGATCAGTTACCCTCCGGTAAACCAATATAGCTATATGGAAAATCATCATTTTTAATGGGTAAATCAACTATAAATGGCCATGTTCAATAGCTATGTTTGTTTACCAGAGGGTATTGAGGGTTATCGAAGCATGTTGCAGGGCTATTTGGAGTTATCTACTTTACCTTGAAAGTCGATTTTTCATGGTTACACGGGTCTGTCTGAAAATGGGCTTTGCCATCAAATAGCTATTAAATGGGACACACGGTGGATGGTTGCGAAATCCTGCACCAGTTGATAGATGGTTTAACCCATTATTTATCGGGTTTCAAGCATCCTTTTGGTGGTGCAAGATTTCGCAACCATCCACAGCATGGTGATAAACTCTGATAAACCATCAAATAGCCATTTTAATGGGACATCAACCCTGGAACTCGGAGGTGGCCTATTTTCAGACCGTTGCGGCGGATCAACGCCCAGGCACTAAGGAGATCTTCGACAAAGACCATTGGAACATCCACAGGGCTGCACGCCACTGAACCTGGGATACAACGAGAATGCTCTAATCATGAAGACATCCGAAAACTCAACCAGCATTTCATGTGCGGGATATTTGTAAATATTTGATCTTTATATTTAAATTTATATTATATTTATTTGTTTATGGATATTTAAATATTTATATATATTATTAACGAATGATATCTAATATATCTATATTACTAAAGGGGGAAGGGGTGATTCTAATACCTAGGTTTGGAATCTGCGGTCCCGGAAAGCGACTGATGAAGCTACTTGTCACTAGAAGGCATTCAATCAGCTCGCAGTCTCGCAAGTCCATTCAAGGGGTCACAGTGCTGGGAGTTTTGAACAATGCAAAAATGATATTTTTGATATTTTAGGTTTCAATCTAGCGCCTAAGTTTTGATATAAAGTCCATTCAATCTAGCACCAAAGTTTCGTTTTCTGATATTTTTCAAAACCCAAGTGAAACCGGACTGATGAGAAGCTTCCAATACTCAAACATGGCAATGACAAATCCCCTGCAAATGGAGGTTTTATATACTGCGAAAATCATCCATCAATTTTCGGTTTGATTACCAAAGGCTATATGACAATTATAAGTATACAATCCCCTTTGTATCCTAAGTTAGCGAGATGCACATCGAAGAAACCTGGTGACCGCTGCAAGACATCCATTTTTAAAGTTCACCCAGATTTACCGATGATTATTTCGGCTCGCCATGGAAAGTTCTTTGAAGTTTAAACTCCAAATTTCGGTGATCCATCCCTTGGTGGTTGGCTACTAAAAATCTTGGATCTCATTAAGTCCCTGCTGTTGATGGCTGCATCATTCCTATATACTTATAACATGTGTATACATATATATATATGCCCAGAAAATCCTTAGTAATACTCTGACTTCAGCAAAACATATTTTATAGGGGATTTCCATGTCTAGCAATATTCACAATGATTATATCCCTGTTTTCTTACTTCCTCCATACCCGCTAGCTGTTGCTGCACCCTGCCTCCATGACGCTTAGGACCTCATGGATCCATGGCTCTGTAATGAGGATAGTAGAGGAATATTGGGACATATTGTGGATATGATATGGCCAAATGTATCCAAAATAATGGGTAAATGATATCCATGGCCATATGATATCCATATCCATATTGTGGATCTAACAGGGATCATGGGCAAATGGATCCCAATGAGCATGGATCGTTCCACTGTGACCTGGACGTATGGAACGAGTGAGTTATGCAGGGGTTTGATCCAGACCTTATACACTCTGGTTATTTAACATAGCCATGGAAAATTTCCCATTTATAGATGGTTTACCTTGGAGTGACCCCCCCCACTAACAGTGGAATAATGGATTTTAATTGTAACTTCCCAGCCAAAATTGCACAACAACCCAGGGACCAAAACCACAAACAATTTGAGAGGCCCAATCTTCTCAATCCAAAATTTTCTGATGTTGAACCGAAGTATGAAATCACTCTGGGGGCAGCCTCCTTGGAACCAGATCAAATCTATTCAGTTGGAGCTTGCAGAGATTTTGTTGGATAAAATCCCTTTTGGGCACAGAGAAGAGTTTGCTAAGGGACAAATTTTGCTCAGTGACGAGTATTGCTAAGGGACAAATTTTGCTAAGGGACAAGTTTTGCTAAGGGTCAAGTTTTGCTAAAGGGAAAATTTTGCCAAGGGACAAATTTCTCAGTGACAAATTTTACTAAAGGGAAAATTTTGCTAAGGGACAAATTTTTCAGTGACACATTTTGCTCAGGGACAAATTTTGCTAAGGGAGAAGTTTTGCTAAGGGACAAATTTTGCTAAGGGACAAACTGTGCTAAGGGACAAATTTTGCTCAGTGACAGATTTTGCTAAGGGACAAATTTTGCCAGGGGACAAGTTTTGCTAAGGGACAAATTTTGCTAAGGGGGAAATTTCGCTAAGGGACAATTTTTTCAGTGACAAGTTTTACTAAGGGACAAATTTTGCTCAGGGACAAATTTTGCTAAGGGAAAACCCTTGCTTGATGTTGTGTTTTTTTTGTGCTCTCGGCCGTGCTTTTGGAAAAGGTAGAAAATATCAAAAGCACAACTTCCCATGCAAAAAGAACACAAAAAGTGCACAACTTGAGTGATTATTTGACCACAAAAATTAGCGCAACAAACAGCACAACTAACCACAAGAAAAAGCACGACAAAACCCACAACGTTCAGGCTTAAAGAGCACAACTTCCCTGATCATTTTTGCACAACAACAAGCCAAGGAAAAAATAAAAACATTTAATTGATTTTATATTTGGCACCGACCACAACTTCATCAACAAAAAACATTTAAAAAAACCCAACTTCCCTGATGATTTGATCACAAAATTAGCACAACAAACCTCACAACTTCACCAACAAAAAAAACAAAAAGTGCACAACTTCCCTGATGATTTGATCACAAAAATTAGCACAAACAGCACAACTATCCACAAGAAAAAGCACAAAAAAAAACACAACGTTTAGGCTTAAAAAGCACAACTTCCCAGCCCAAAAGTTTACAACCGCAGACCCCCCCAAATCGCCAGGTTGTCCTGAACCTGCAGTCGGCTAGGGCCTGCCAGCCCAGCCTGAGCCTGGATCCTGCTTGAGGGCCGTGCCACCCGTTAGTGTGGCCAGCTCTGGCACCCGTTAGTGTGGCCAGTTCTGGCACCCGTTAGTGTGGCCAGTTCTGGCACCCGTTAGTGTGGCCATCTTTGGCACCTGTTAGTGTGGCCAGGCCATCTCTGGCACCTGTTAGTGTGAAGCCCCAGGTTAGCTTGAACACCAGGCAGCCAAGTCAATGAAATGATTCATATGATTCATATGATTCGATATGAAAAACCTTCGGCCAATGATACTTTTAAACTGAGAAGCAAAGCTTTTCAAAGTAAAGACTAGGGTGTGTCAGAGTATCAGCACACATGATTCTGTCGCATGCGTCATAGGTAGTGAGATATGATTGTTTTTTCTGTGATAAGTCATATTAGTCATGAAGAAATTTTATCCAACAAAATCACTCTGGGGGCAGCCTACAAAGCATAAACCCATTTATTTGGTGGGCCTCCTTTGGTTCGATAGGATGGTGCATAATCTGAGTCTCTGTACTGGATTGCCCAGGATTTTTCAATATACAGGCCTAAGCTCTCATTGGCCTTTTCCGGTCAAAGTATATACAAACCCAACTTCTTTGTGAACTATTGGGTTCATGCTGTGAAAAACCCAACTTCTTTGTGGGCTGGTAGACTGACAAAATGTGCCAACCCAACTTCTCAATGGCATTTTGGGTCCATCGTGCTTGTGTTTTTTTTGTGGTCTGGATTGTGGTGACTGTTAGTGTAAGGGGGAACAGTCCAAGGTTTACCTATTAATTATTAAGAATGGTGATTTTCCATGGCTATGTTAAATAACCAGATGGTATATTGAGAAGGTATACCAAAGCGGCTTGGTATGGCATGTCTGGGTATCAAGGCGTATGGATCGGGCCTACAGATCGCCTGGGGTCCCAGGTAACCATTGGGGACATTTTGAGTCGTGGCCATATGTTGAACATCTACATCTAGTATGCAACATATGGTTTAACAACGTTTAACATACATACATATAATATCATATACTACATCCATTTGTCGTAATTTATCTGGCTACATCTGGTTTAACAGACCTGTAGACACCAACAATACGGCCCAGCAAACATTGTCCCTGAAGATCCAGGACCATCAGGACCTGACTCCTCTGATTTTTCAACGGATCCCCCTCCTTCCTATATGCCTTTCAAAGCGTATATTGTATATATACAATTATATGCTGGTTGGTGGTATACCTACCCCTCTGAAAAATATGAGTTCGTCAGTTGGGATTATTGTTCCCAACATATGGAAAATAAAACACGTTCCAAACCACCAACCAGTATATGATGACCCACATATCATATAACCCATGAAACCCATATAAACCAACAACCTGCTCAACCAATTTTGACCTCAAACCAATCCCTTTGGACTGTCGGTCTACTGGGAGGAGTCCTCCTGCTCCGCTTGCAAGTCGGGCGCCGGGTGCTTGATTCGTTCTTGCCATCTTCGATGCTTTTGGCTATTACTGCGAAGACTTTGTCTTCGTCCTCAAGGTCTTGCAGCCACGCCTGCACATGCTCGGTCTGCTTCTTCCGCTCCGGCATGAACTTTCGCCCAGGTGCGGAAGTTCTTTGCCGCGGCCAGCGAACTGGGATGCTGAGGCCCAAGAGGCCAGCAGCAGCCTATACTGTTCATTCCAACAGTGACACACGATGCTTTTTCATCAGACAAGAAAATGCTGGTTGGTTCCCAGCTCCCCTGCTACAAATCTAAGGGAATGGCCGGGAACCGCCATGGGTCTTTTTGCAAGGGAACCATTTTAGAATATACCGCCATCCCTTGTCATCCCATGTCATTATACTAGTTGGTTGATAGGTTTCCTTACTATGGCCAATAATGATCCGAAATAAGTGGGTAGTAAAACTCCTTCCAATAGCCAATCTAAAAGGGTGGGTTTCAATGGTGCTGAATTCGTAATTCCCTAACCTGAAAGTAGCTGAAATAAGGCCATTTTGGGATGATTCCCTGCAATCTAACCATCATTCAGGTGACGCCGCAAAATGGGGTGATTGTGAGTGGTCCATTTGAAAATAGTAAACTACTACCATCAAACATGCACTTAGTAAAGGGCTATTAATACCCGATTGTTAATGGTTGGTACAAATTATGTGCGGGTTTCCCAAAATGCAGGCTCCCAAAAACAATTGGTTTCAATACCAAGTCATGGCTATCCATGACTTAGATGATGTGGGGTACACCTATTTTAGGAAATTTCTGGGATGGAGTAGGGCTTTGATGGCGATGGAAGTGGATACCCTTTGGTAATACCCCATTGGCTGGTGCGCCAAGGTACAGCGTTGCAAAGGACCTCAGCGATGGAGGACCCGGCGATAACTGGGGCAGCGACAGAAATCCCATGGTCTTTTATCTTTTCCAGGAAAAAACACATTTCTTTATGGGAAAACATGATATAATCTGGTTGGTGGTTTTAACTCTTGAAAAATATTAGTCAGTTGGGAATGACTATTCCCAATATGGAAAAAGAAAAATGTTCCAAACTGCCAGCAATGGTTAATAATTTTGAATTGTAATTGATAATGGTTCACAGTGGTAAACGATGGTTAATCATGGAATTTTACTGGCATCCTCATTATTGGTGTTTTACCGGAAGGCCGCGCCGCAGTTATGTAGATTGGTTTGCAACCCCATCGATGGATACACCGGCATCAATCCCAGTTATTGGAGTTAAAGACCATTCCGAATTTTAAGCACACCCAAATATCATGATACGATTGGTTGTATGTCCCACTTGTGAAATCACCAACAAATCTATATTTATCATTTATTGTTAATTAATCCCATATCCCATATCTAATCATAAGTCTTGAGATCAAAACTCGATGGCAACAATCGTTAGCTGTCTAAATCTCTTCGTGGGGGTTAAAGGACGGATATTTGCCAACAAATTAGCAGCAACAACTAATACTCATACCCATTTGATACAATTTTAAGTCAGCTGTGTACTAAAAACCATACAGATGGGGTTGGACGGGTTGCCAATGGATAAACATGTTTCATTTTTCATGCCCGGCAATCAAGCATGGCAATGGCAAGTCCCCAAATCCTCCAAGGGTAATGTGATCCCATTGTTATTCCATTATGAAAACTTTCATTTTTTTCTATCAACCCAGTTATGTCCCACAAAGCAACTTACTTTTAGCTAAGTAGTATTCTTGATAATGAATCCTTCATTGATGATGAATTGGTGGTTGATTTCTATCAGTTGATAGATGGAGACTGACATCAGTAAACATCATTAAACCACGGTAGTTATGATTATAGCACACCCACTATGATCCATTATCATCTATATACTATCATTAGCCATCTTCTACAAATGAAGGCCATTATCATCTATGATCATCTACTTATCGTTAACTTCTTAGATTTTCCATTATCATCTATTATCATTAACAATCAACATTATCTATTTTCAATGTGTGATCATCATCAAACATCTATTATCATCTATTATCATCTATTATCATCTATTACCATCTATTATCATCTATTATCATCTATTATCATCTATTATCATCTATTATCATCTATTATCATCTATTATCATCTATTATCATCCACAAATGATCACCCATGATTATCCATTATCATCCATTCACTATGATCATTCACATTCAACATGGAAGTTTTCTACAACGTCTTCCACCGTCAAGTCGCCTTTGTGACCTCCACCACCGCCAACTGCACCATCGCGCGGCGCCACCCGGCCATTTGTCGCAGAGAGGAGGCACAGGCGCAAGCACCTGGCTGGATGTTGACCACCAAAAAATGGGCAGTTCAGGAGCTTGACCCAGCGTTTTTATGACTGGTTGGTGGTTTTAACCATCTTGAAAAATGATGGAGTTCGTCCATGGGAAGGATTATCCCATATAGTATGCAAAAAAAAACATGTTTGAAACCACCAACCAAATGATGATGCCCTTAGAAAACATTGGATCTTTTAGAAGCAAAACATGGAGATTCTAGGGTTGATGCTATAGGAGGAACCATATTTGAGCAGCGTTCAAGACCCGAAACATCGTCCCTTTGTGCTGGCTGATAGGGATTCCCATAAGGGACGATAAGAATCTACAACATACTTGGATCATCTGGATGTGGTTAGTCTAACCCCCATATCCAGTAATCATTGACCAATCGACCGGGGTTTGAACACTGCTCACTATTCCCCATGATTTTCCATTGCCACGTTGGCCCGACAGCTTGCCGTTCTAAAAAGCCACGAAAGAATCATCAGGTGATCTCACTGGCCATGTCGAAGGCGATCCGTTGAGTCACAGCCACAGCTGCGATTGCCATGGCAAAATCCATCTGTTGACTTCCACCTTGTCCTTTGCCATACGTCACCCAATTGCCTTAGGCCACCTTGTTGGCCACCAATCTGAGGCGGCATACCCTTGCCGTAGATCTTCTGACAGGTTGATGGACTTACCCAAGCAGTCTACCATGCTTTACCCAATGACTTCAGCTAAATTCCTGAATTCCGGTTGCAGTTTGAAAAGCGAGCTTCTGATGGTCACTAAAAAAAACCGCCCCCGGCTTATCCAAACTCCAAGACAATAGGTTATCCTATGGCAGAGGTGGCAAGTGAACATCGTGCAAATGAAAGTTTGCATGAGAAAATCATGGGCAAGTGTGGGGAAAGCCTGGGAACATATACTAGAACTGGAGGTTTTACTGACAATATCATCGAAAAAAACGGGATGATGTTCCAGCTAACCATGATTGAATTTCAGAGGGTATAGTCATCTGCGGTTGACTGAGCGCATGAACCAACTTCAACCTGGTCGGCAGCATAGTGTGGAAGCTGTAAATGGTTGATTGGAATGGTGAATTTTCCTGCTTGAACATTAAAATCCTCAATGACAAGGGTACTTATGAACTAATCAGGATGGTATAGGTGTATGCTTCCCGAAATTACAGTTATGGCCCTTTACCAGTTATAAGTACTAACAAAACCCCATTCATAGAATGTATAGTCCCATGGAAAAAAACCCGTTATAACCAATAGATGGCCGTAACTGTATAGATACAGTAATTTGGTAGGAACCAACTACAGATATCTCAAATACCCCCTGGTAAACTTTTGCATGACTATGGAAAATTACAATGTTTAATGGGAAAATCCACTATAAATTGCCATGTTCAATAGCTATGTTTGTTTACCAGAGGGTATACATCATAAATCCATCATTAATCCCCATGAACTATATCTCCATAGAGGTGTTGTATCTATATCTGAACATATCCCATGAACTATAGTTATATCATTAAATCCATTATACACCAGAACCTCCCCATGATCCCGCGACCTATGACGTCTGGCTGCATCGCATCCCGTGGCATCCCATCCAAGAGATGGAACGCAAAGGTCCACTGGGTGCCTGGGCATTGTGTCACTGGATCATAATGGCTTTAATATAGTGTATATATATATATATATAGATAATATCTGGATGGTGGTATACCTACCCCTCTGACAAATATGAAAATCAGTTCGTGGTTGGTAAATAACCATATACTCCCTCTGGTAATTTGTTACTTTTTGCTATTGAAAATGACCCAGTCACAATAGTTGATTTGCCCATTGGTAGCATGGTGATTTTCCAATACCCTTGCTGGTTGGTGGTGCAATAACCATCTTGAAAAATATGAGTTCGTCAATAGGAAGGATTATCCCATGTATTGTGGAAAATAAAGCATGTTCCAAACCATCAATCAGCTGTAATATTATATATAATTACGAAGGCAATCATAATTCAAGTACAATAATTAACAGAAGTAATACAGGCAATAAGGAAAATAATGACAACACCAGTGATAATGATAAAAAAACAAACCTGTTACAACTCCTCTGAAAAATATGAGTTCGTCAATGGGAAGGATGACATCTCATATACTAAGTCACCAGCAGATAGAATATTCAAAAAACACTGGACAACAGATAGAATAGGACAAAACGCTATCAGCACATCCAACAGATAGAATATTCAAGATAAGCAAAAACATAAAGAAACTATATGATTTTGATGATTTTAGCAAGCAAATGAAGAGATAGAATATTCTCACCTGCAAAAATGATGTATCCCTGAAATCATTGATTCTCTATGGGATTACTGACGAAATATTGCATTTTGTTCCAATGTTTTCCATACCTTAAATCATTGACTATCTATGGGATTGCTGAGAAAAATGATGCATTTGGTTTCAGCGTTTTCCATGATGTTGTATTTCTGAAATCATTGAATATCTAAGGGATTGAGGAGAAAATGTTGCATTTGGTGTCAATGTTTTCCAAAATATTGTATCACTCAAATCATTGAATAGCTATGGGATGGCTAGGAACATATTGCATGTGGTTTCTACTACTGTAATTGCACATCCAAATACATAAAAAACGTATTTTTGCTAAGGCTTTCGCTAATGTGTTCCCAATATATGATCTTTATAGAAGGTAACTGCCAGCAAAGCTGGCACCGCCAGTCTGAATATTCTATCTGTTGATTTTTGATTTGAAGACCGTTTAAAAAGGAAAATTCTACAAATATATATATATATATATAATTATATATACAGATAACATCATATTTTTGAATTCTTGTATGTATATAACTTTGGTTTGGTGTTCAATGCAGAAACGCAACCAAATGTTTCTATTTTTGCCGTTGGAATGTGCAAAGCTAGTGGAATTGCGCTCATCGTGCATGCTGTGATCCATAATGACATGCATAAAACACAACCTTATTCCATAGGTTCAAAACATATATATATATATATATACACATGAAACCAACAAATAGAATATTCCAACAGACCAATGGTACCAGTGATGTTTCCTTCTTTGATGAACATTTTAATATGAAATTGTTGAAATTGTTGATGTTCATTCTTCACCGAATAACATATACCATTGAAAATGCAGAAAACCATATATATATATATATAATTACACGGATCCAACAGATAGAATAGTTCAGCTTAAAATCATGTAGATTTGGAGATATATTTCCATAATTTATAAGCTCAAAATATCAACGATTTCGTATATATATATATATACATACGCGAAATCAACATTTTGCTACTCATCTTAAACAGATAGAATATTCTCAACTGCAAACCAGGTTTCACCCGCAAAATCGTCGATCCCCGAACACTGGAAAATATTCTATCTGGTAGTGCCTTTGTATAAATGAAATGGAAAAATACAAAAATGTTCCAAACCACAAACAAGCAATAGAGTTTGGAAAAAAACAGATAATAACCACCAAACAAATAAAAACAACAGCAACCAGTAGAAGTGACCAGAGGTGTAAACGTTGGTTGGGGTTTTTGTCGCTCAAATCATGGGATCCCACATGCCCCAAGAGGCGGCTATGAATCGTCCAAATCAACAACGGGTCCTTGAAGAAAAAATGTGAAAACACATGTCCAAATAGTAATATATATATATATATATACACTGTATATATATATAAATATAATTATTTAAGTATATAGGTACCGCAAATATCCTCAAATACCTAAAAAGCCAGAAAGTGAATTGCAGCTAACGTAAAGCCTTGAAGTGTTCAGTGCTCACTTTTTCAAGTGGCATGACTGGGTGTGAAACGCCCACATCAAACCTGGCAAGCAAGTGAACATAGGGAGGAGAAAACAATACCTAGATCCATGGAAATCTTCCCCTACTTATACAGGCATGCCGCATGCCAAAGCATCGTTGCTAGCCGCCTTCCCGATAGGCGCGCCTTTTCCGTGGATGTCAATGGCAGTGTTGAGAATCACATCGTTCAGTTACACCTGCAGCAAACCAAAAAAAACACACCTACTAGCCGCACATGTATGTAGGTTGACTCTATGCAAATTCCTTTCAACATGATACACTGCACCTATGCGTATGAGAAGTGACTGAAATTGTTTGTTTTTCTCCAACTGCAGAAACATGTGCCATTCATTGACCAAATGACAAATCGCCATATCCTAGCCCGAATGACCAAACAGGCCACGCTAAAATCACATGGTTTAGAACCTCGCTATTCATTCAAATTCATCTCCGCCGAAACCCGATGGTTTATAACATCCTTTCATCCTTTTGCCCACTTTTGGATGGGAACTATGCTCAGGGAGGATGTAACATATGGATATCCCATTGTTATATCCTGCATCTATTTGAAGGTGTGCCCAGTGATGTCCCCATTTGCCAGTTACATCCCAAATCTATCACATGTTGGCCAGGTACATCCCAATGTTCAATCAGTCGACCCGCCTGTTTGAACGATGTTCTGCATGTCTTCTCGATACGCACCCCGTTCTCAACAGTTGGACACACAAAAAGTCAATCCTTCACCAGTCATCTTTAAGAGATTCGTCCAGGTACATCGCTATTTGTCAATGATCCCCATTGCTTTACTGGTTGGTGGTATACCAACCCCTGTGAAAAATATGACTTCGTCAGTTGGGATTATTCCCAGCATATGGAAAAATAAAAGCTATGTTCCAAACCACCAACCAGTTTTATATCGCTTTTGCTTTACAGGCTGGACTAGTGCCACATGTTTTTTCACACGGACGCTTGGATTTGCTCAGAGCTGGTGCCAGAAAATGGGCCCACCAATCTGACGGCGCCTTCAGGCTGCGCTGAGAGATTTGCCGATTCGGGCTCTGGCTGATGTCTGCAATCCTCGTCATGTCTGCCGGCAAGTTCTCCGTGTAAGAGCCTGTTTTGGCTTTCACGATTCTACGTCAGCATTTGACACCATGCACTTTGCCCTCGCAGAGCTGCCATGTGGCAGAGGCTATTTCCAAGTGAACCTCAGAAAACCCATGGTTTTAGGGAGCTATGACTTAAGATACTGAGGAACCCCCACATTGTTTCTCGGCGTTGAACCCAATAATATTAGTAGTGGCGATTACTATTATTCTATTTGCTAGCTAGTAGTTATTATATACATGTTGTTACTTCTCTTAATTATCATGATTATCGTTATTACTTATTATATTATTCATATATTCATTAAATCATTGTCATAGTAAAAGCTATTAATAGTAATATATTACTCAATATACATATACGATTATATAATGTTTGTGAATAAAAATAACATACCACCCCCAATTTCACCACAAATAGGTCGTATGAACCATTCCCAAATGAGTGGTGTTTATGATGGTTTTTCCCCACATTAGTTGATTAATAAGCACCTTCATAGATGAATTAAGAAAGACATTTTTCCGCTACCAATGGTATTTAATTATATACCATTGGTAACGGAAAAAATCCTCCCTAATTCAACAACAATTTCTTTTCATCCGGATCTGATATCCATGGAGATGTTCAATTTCTCCCGGGTCCTGGTTCATTAATAAGCCCCTAATACTAGTGGTAAACATAGAATAAACCATTACATACCACCAAACATCATTATAATTAGATACCATTAGAAATGGAAAATAATGGAAAATATAAACCAAAAAATAGCCATTATAAAAGATGGTGTTTGATTTCTTCCATTTCTTAATTCAAACACCATCTTCTGGGTAAAGCCATCAGATCCATCACTTCCCACCTGCAGCATCTGCATCTCTTGCAGCATTCCACCAGCGCTCCTCCACTGAAGCTGCCCTTGCCGAAGCGCCTTCAGCTGCGAGCCTCGACCCGGGGATGGCCATATGGCGTTCGAAAGTGAAGATCTATGGAAAAATCTAGGGGAAATATGAGAAAACAGTTACTAAAACCCATGGAACAGATATGGAACATATCTTATAAACGGAAGCTTCAATGGGATGTATGTGGGAAAAATTTGGGAACATGTGGGACAACGATGGAATATAATTCATCTATATATATATATTTATGGGTATATAAATCATCTAGGAATGGCATCTTTTTGTGGGAAAATCTTTTATCAAATGATGGTTTTTAATGGGATATACGAAAAATCTAGGGAAAAGCTTCGGACAATCTGGGAACATTGGTGATTTAAGTAGATTTTCCCAGTTAAGTTGGCTTGCACACACTAATAAATGCATATATATATATTATGTGTGTGGTGGAGAAACAGTATTAGCATAGATCTATAAATGGATATAAATATATATATATAAATTATATACGCATTTCAAACATACTAATATATGGTTGGTAGTTCCTACACCCATAGAGGTGTATAGATATGCCTAGATGTGCCTACCAAAAGCCATAAGTGGCCTAGTTACGTTTAACAACTCAATTAGTAAGACCAATGGACTGATTTAAGGAAACAATACACTTGAAACTGTATGCACTCCAGGGGTTCTTATGCCTTCCGCTGTTGCTGAGATTCATAATTGTGGAGCGAACTTCAATC